AGTGGATACTCACATACTCAGTAGATTCATTTATTTTCGTCTATCGGCCTGACGATTGCATTTACGTATGAAACAGAATGTCGAGGCAACGTGCTGACTTCAATGTCCATTTGTATATAGTTTCAACCTTACGGTGTCATCAGATTGTTTTTGGTGAATATTTACCAAAAATCACCTGATGAGACCACAAGGTTGAAGCCCGGGTTGTGTTAATGGGGATTCTTTTCAATTTTAACCGCTCTACACTTTCAATTTTTTAGAATTGTGTATTGAGTACTTCCTTAAAACTTCTGTCTGGCCAAGTAATTTTATATTCTCATATATATATATATATATATATATATATATATATATATATATATATATATATATATATATATATATATATTATATGAATCATTCATACAAAAAACAGATATAGAATATATATAGAGATATATCTGATTTTTGTATGAATGATTCATGTAATGTAAATTGAACTGCACCACATACTTTATATATATATATATATATATATATATATATATATATATATATATATATAGATATATATATAGATAGATAGATAGATAGATAGATAGATAGATAGATAGATAGATAGATAGATAGAAAATCGTTATATTTTTTTATATGTTTATATTTGATTTGTAACCTGTATTCGATATTACTTTTGTCAATTTTTTTATTACACAGCGGCCCTTTTATAGATGCCTTTCGGTTTTAGTTCCACCCATCCCATCTCTCTCCCCAACCCCCTTTTTCTTTTCTTTTCCTCTACCTATCCCATCTTTTGATCTTTAAGATTATATTGTCTATTGTGTGTGTATGTCACAACAAAATGGATACTCTTTTCCCGTGTATCTTTAATGTATTAGACATACGAGGATATTCATATTTCTCTCACTTAAACCGTCTTTGACTCCCCTCTTAAAAATTCTCTCTGTTAAATTTTAATCCCCACCCCCTTCATCTTTAGACCTTCCTGTTCTTCTCTCGTCTTTTACCCCTCCCTATAGCTTTCATTTACTCTAACATTCGTCCCACACTCTCATACATACACTCTCACTAAATTTTATTTTTTATTCCCGGAGTTGTTTTTTCTGTTTTTTGTTTTTTTAATTTTAGGTCTGATGAATTGGATCGTATTTACGATTTCAATGGAATAAATTATGACCATGGAAAATTAGTGTTTAAGTTTTTTTTATTTATATATATATATATATATATATATATATATATATATATATATATATATATATATATATATATATATATTATTACGTAAAACTTCGGTTTGACCTTTATAAATGACGTCACCTTTAAGTGACTTGAAATCTGTGCCCACCAAATCGGGAAAGACGAAATTAACCAAACATATTTTCAGAAACAGATGCTATATTCTTGCTAACATCTGTTATTCCGATGAACTTTGGAAATCTTCTGACAGAAAACAACTAAATCTTAATTTTAAAAAATGACAGACTGACATTGTTTGTATTGTTTAAAAACTATTGTTAAAATAATTCTTGCTGCCTAAATCAACCTTATATATACGTATGTTTTGAGTATGTATTCATATATATGCATGTATACTATTTGATTCTTTATAGATAAGATTACAGGAAGCCAGATTTTTATCGATATGATCAAAAACACATATCGTAGAAGCAACTTTTTTTATCATTAGATTGTTAATAGTGTCCCACAGCATTGTAATATCTAATTAAAAGCGTGACCTTCGATTCTCATCACTCATTTTTTTTCCTGCCAGTGCTGTTAAAATAATGTGAAAACACTTTTTGGCAACATGTAACAGTAAGGAGACACGTATTTGGTTTTATGATCATAACAAATCCTATTTACAAGCGACAGTATTTTTATTTTTTCGAATGATTATTTTTTTCCACATTGCTTATAACTTATTTCTATAATGAAATTTGCACCTACGGCATATTTAAGAAATATCTCTGGGATAAATAAAGCCTTCATGAATGATTACTACATTCGGTTGAAAAATTTATTAATATCTCGAAGAGAATATGCTTCAAGAATAGAATCCAGATCTTAATTATCTTTTAGCACTATAATTAGATGTTTCCACATGGTTGGTTGTATTATTAACGATGGTGAAGACATTATATGAAAGCAATGTGTTTTACCTTTGTTACTTACGGGGAATGTACGAGTTTAACGCTAACGTCAAAAGATGGATCTAATATTTAAGTCATTATGCAATTATATTTTACTCTTAAAAATAAGACATTTTCTTTAAAAAGTTTCTCTTTTTACATGTGAGTATCATATATTTATCAAAATATACTACTATAAAGTCAATCTGGAGAAGGATCAGTTTATGACTGAATAAAAATATAAAACTGGTACTCCACTTTGTCTCCAGTAGAAGAGTATATTAATATTATTTTCCTCATGTCAGTATATTTTATTATTAGTCCTTACTAGTATTTGAAAGATTTCGCGTTCGTCGTTAAATATATACTTT